GAAAGCGTAATTAAGGAGCACTATTGGAGTGACTTCGATGGTTATTGGACTCAGGATTAATTCATTTGGATTCCCGCTGTATGAAGAAATGAAAGGACGGCGCGGAAGTGGAAACAATTCACAAAGGGATTAAACTGTTTAAAACACATGCTCAAAGTAAGCCGGATTTTGCCGTTGTGTTTATGTGGATTCAAAAGTCCTAAATAATCTACAAAATGGAGGAGACCGATCTGATCGGAGCAACTGTGACAAAGAATCCAACTGAAACCGGCATGGACAATGACTATGTTTTAAAAATGCGCTTATCCAGAAAAGCCCGGTTTGGACACTTTACGGGCAGAAGAAACATTTCTATTAAAGAAAGAATTGGGAACCATTGCTCTACACCAATGATTTCCTGGAAGGCAAACTGTAGAGGGTCCATGGAGTCACACACGAGGGGTTTGAGGTGCTGCAGGATCAGTCTCTCAAAGATTTTCATGACGTGTAAAGTGAGAGCTACAGACCTGTAGTCTCCTGGAGTGCTGGGGCGTGTCTTTTTGGGCACCGGGACAATGCAGGAGGTCTTCCAGATGTCAGGCACCTTCATCAGCTTCAAGGAGAGACTGAAGAGGTGCTCAAAAGCTCCCGCTAACTGTCCGGCACACGCCTTGAGCACCCGGAGGTTGGTGTTCTCTGGCCCCCTTGCCTTCCTCACGTTGATCTTCGAGAGCTGATTCCTGACTTGTCCGGTAGTGATTATCAGAGATGTGAAACTGCTGGGAGTGTGGTCCAACATTGGGGATGAACGGGGAACGGCTGTTGTCCCCTCTGGAGTGGTGTTGGGCGTAGAAGAAGAAGAAGAAGAAGAAGAAGAAGAAGAAGAAGAAGGGGAAGAAGGGGAAGTATGAAAGGGAGGGGGAGTAATGGTGCCAGGGTTTGGGAACCCCTGCTGTCCTGTTGAGCTGGAAAGCAGCTGAAGAACAGGTTTAGCTCATTCGCAACTTCAGAGGTCCCTTGCACAGCCGTGCTTGATTGTTTGTACCCTGTGATCTTCCTCGTTCCTCCCCACACCTCTCGAGAGTTATTGACCTCCAGACGACCCTCCAACTGGTCTTTGTATTTCTCCTTGGCTGCTCGTAGCTCTTTTTTCAGCTCCTTCTGCACATTTTTAGCCCCCACAGTGTCTTGAGCTATGAAAGCCCTCTTGTTCCTGTTCAAGAGGGTTTTAATGTGCCCATTGATCCAGGGCTTGTTGTTTAGGAAGTATCGTACCCTTTGGTAGATACAATGCCCTCCTCACAGAAACTGATGTAGTCAGTGCTGCAAAGGGAAAGTCCATTTATGTCCTCACCGTGAACCCTCTGAAACATCTCCCAGGGTGTTTCTTAATGTCTGAGAAATTTTGAGGCTGCACATGTGTAGACTCCGCAGTCTTAAAATCCCCACAATGCTTTGCGCACGGACCAATTTCCCCAAATCTGTGGCGGAAAATGTAAGGCGGGGCCTCTCATATGAGTTATGACGCACACCTGCACACTTGCTAGCCTGTTCCACTCTTTGTTTTCCGAATGCCAGGAAGTATTCTTGCCTCGCTTCTGAAGCAAGACGCTCGGAAGACATGTGCTACCAAGCAAGCGTCCTCGAGAAGATTGAGAAACACCCCCAGTCTGTTGACCTGTAGCACTCCCTCAACTCCTCCTCGACTTCATCTGACCACTGCTGTACAGTCCTGGTGGTAGCTGGCTGTCTCCTGACAAGAGGCTTATATTTGGGAACAAGCCTGCCCTAATTCAGAGTGATGATGTTCATCAACCATGCAAACTGAAGCGATGTGGTTCTCTGACAGAAATCTGAATCAGAATTCCTTTATTAGTCCCACAGCAGAGATGCACTGTGTTACAGCAAAAAGAGGCAGCGCAGGTAAAAAAAAAAGGCAAGCTATGATACAGAAAAACGCTACCTTATTAAATATAGAGAAGAAAAACACACTTTAGTGACAATAGAATACAAATAAAGACAAATATGTACACATCCATGGCACAATGTATGTTTTCACATAAAGGTGATTTTTGCACAGTATTGCAAGAAAACAATTGATTCTCAAATTTGTGAGAATTATTTTGTAATTTGTGTATGACTTTATAATCTGATAGAATTTCACAGTTTTGTTTTTCAGAATATTTTAATACTTTGTACTTCTAATTCACTACAATTCAGAGTTAATTGTCTACTTTTACTCGCCTACATTTATTTAATACCTTTAGTTACTTAACATATTTGGATTAATGATGTGAAATATAATCAAGTGTTAAATCAGACTTTAGTTCCACCTGGATTAAATTCACAAGCTACCCTGCAGTATACAAAGTCATTCAAACTAGCTGCACCTTTACCAGCTTTGAGAACACTTTAATGATCAATCATTATAAAACATATCATATATATTATTCTGAAATGGACCAATCTGCACAATCACTACTTTTACTGTCGCTACTTTAACTATATTTTGATGATCATACTTTTCTGCTTTTACTTGAGGAACATTTTGAATGCAGGACTTTTACTGTAACAGAGTATTCCTACACTCTGGTACTTCTACTTTGACTCAAGTACAAGATGTGAGTACTTATACTTTTCTAGTACATCATGTGAGTACTCCTCCCACCTGTGCGGACAGAGTGTGTACCTTTGCACCGATGCGATCAGCTCCTTCTCCCTCATGGTCTGCATCTCCATCCTGATGTCCTTCTCCTTCATCAGTGCGTACCCTTCCTCCAGGCTCTGCTGTAACCGGGAGGCAGTTCTCTCCAGATGTTTGGCCTTCTGCTGGACCTCCTCCTGCTGAGATAGAACACACACACAGAGTACACTAAAGCTTTATGTCAGAAAAGTAAAGCAACGGTCCCCAGCACATAGCAACTGCCGAATGCTAACTTGCATAGGTTGGGCATAAGTTGTGTTAATTAGCATTATAGCAATTTTGGAAAATAGTTGACAAATGGCTTGGTTGATTTGCACAATTTCGGATTGTTTTTTGGGGTTATTAAGGGTGGCGAGTCCATTTCAGACTTTTTCAGATAAGAAATGGCCAGTTTTAACCAGAAAGTGGACATACCGTATATGTACTCTCTGTGGGCTGATTTTGACTACCATGAGTAGTGTTGCGACCATTGGATATAGAGAGCACGAAAATAAAATGAGTATCTCCACTGTAGACAAATTATTTTCAAATAGATTAGCATTCTCTTCAATCAAGATGATCCAGAGTCCCCTAAATCTTCAAAATTGGCCAACAGAGGTTTGTGCTGATCTGGCATAAATGAGGTTTAACTTTATATTGTTATTTGCCATTTGCTTTATGGTGCATCTCAGGTGATGTTACAGACTAGTCCAAAATACTTACAGTACAGCAGTGAGTCATTTAGTACAGTAAGGCATTACTTTTTTTGAGTAACTACCCTAACACTGCTGGTGTGTGTGTGTGTGTGTGTGTGTGTGTGTGTGTGTGTGTGTGTGTGTGTGTGTGTGTGTGTGTGTGTGTGTGTGTGTGTGTACCTGCTGGCTCTGGGTCTGCACCTCGTCCAGCGTCGGCAGATCAGAGAGGTATTTCTCCAGAGTTTCGATGCGTTGCTGTTTCTCTCGGATCTGTTCGCTCTCTCGCTGACATTTCTTTTTCAGACTGCTGATGTAGCGATCCCTCGTCTTTATCTGAGAACAACAACACCCAGTATTACTAATACCCTGATTTAATATTATGTTGAATTTAACTGCATTCATTTAACACATTTTTAGATACTGGCGGTACACTGAACATAAAATAAATAGATGCATAAATTAAGAGTAATGAAATAGAAATGAAAAAACATTCCCAAGGAGTACCCTTGTCATTTTCATTGCCTTTCAATCTAGTGATCATAGCCTAGTAGGATGCTTTCTCAACCATGGCACTGACCCCTTCCTTCATATCCGGAGGGTTGTCTATTTTCCAATGTCTCAAGATAATTCTTGAAGCTGTTTCAAACCAACCATAATAACAGAAAATGCACTTTTTGAAATATGTGGTATTTGAGGTCTGTCCCCTAATCAGTGGCGACTCGTCAATAGGGGCAGGTGGCACAGCCCCACCTACTGTCAGCAGAAATTAATTATATATAATAAACATGTATGAAATAAATGTTAAAATGTATTTTAAAACCATGTTTAGTGGTCTCTACATTGCTGCTTCAGACTGCGTTCTTCTGATTAGTGTCTACAGATAGGCACTACAATATGCACACTGTAAAAATGAATGTGTACTGTAAAAACCACACTGCACTGCTCACCATCTGCCGTGCCGCTATTCTTTTCAAGTGAGCCTTCAGCTTTGGTGAGTGAAAGTATATTTTGTGTCATATTTGTTGTTATTTCTCCATGTTTTGACTATAGGCTATTGCTCTGCTGGATCGATTGATATTGTAACCATGGTGAAAGGTGTCTGTGTTTTCCTTATATATACAATTTCTTAGATTTCAAATCAAATTAAGTTTTATTTATATAGCACATTTATAAACGATTTTTGGTCGAGCCTAAGTGCTGTACATATAATAAAAATAGCCTACAGTAGAGACACTTTACAGCAAATACAACAGCACAGATTGTTCAGAATATCAGCGTGAGAAAAACGACACCCTCTGTCCTTAGACCCTCACATCGTACAAGGAAAAACTTCCAGAGAAAAACCCACAGTTTAAAGGGGAAAAAACGTCATGCTGAAGCATTACGGTTGTTGGTATTGTTAAGTATTGCTTTGTGATAGCGCCCTTTACTCCATGTAAAATGTCACAGGTTTGTTCGGTGCCTTGCTCGAGGGCACCACGGCAGGGCCCAGGAGGTGAACTGGGACCTCTCCAAGTAGCAGTCCACACTCCATATTTAGGTCTGGTTGGGGACTTCAACCGGCGACCCTACAGCTCACAGTCCAAGCCCCTACTGACTGAGCCACTGCCAGACTTCTTCTTTTTTGTTTTTGGGTGTGATAACATTGGTGTATCATCTTATAAGGTGCAGCTTCCCTTTTGCTTCCTTTACATATTTTCCACAGTCTGCCAAAACGTTCAGCCATTTCCCTTGATCAACGTCCATTTTCCGGTCTCTCTGGCATACCAGTTTGACATTGGACCATTCCGCACTTACAAAGTAGACGGTCAATTTATAAATGTGTAAAGCAGTGGCATTCCTTCATAAAGTCAGATATGTGACTCTCTGTAGACCAATTGAACTGAGTTGTTACACAGTTCCTAATTTACAAATATTTCCCAAAATATAGTTTTTGTTCTGGAATGGTTAAATATGATCCTTCACATACCTTTTCCTCCAGTTTCCTGATGTCCTCTGTATATTTGTGGTTGACCTGCTTGAAGAACTCGCTCAGATGGAGAACCTCCAGCTCAGCCACCGCCAGCTTCCTCCCCAGCTCCTCATCGCAGTAAAGCCTATCAGAGGGCTGTTTGCATGTTCTCAACGCTGATTCCTATTGGATAACAAAACTGGTGCTGTGACTGAATAGTTGGAGGTTTAATATGATCCCAATATGAATGCTCATTGATCACAGAGAGGTGTTACCTTTTGGAAGGGGGGGTCATCCAGCCACACCCTCTGGCTGTGCAGCACCTGCTCTGCTCTCAGCTCGTTCTCTCTGATCCGGGCATGGAGCTGCAGGATCTGCTGCTTCTGTCTGAAACACAGAATAAAACAAACATTGTCATAAAATGTCTATTTAAGCTGAGATGGATGAGGCAAGAACAGACAGGGCAAAATACATAAAAACAGATGAGATAAAAAAGACATGGGTTGGGATCGAATTGTCAATTTTACTTAGGAACGTTCCCTACGGAGTGAAATGATTCGAAAGTACATGATAAGATCTGTTCTGATTCCATAGAGGATAGGAAAGGAGCTTGAGTGTTCCTTTATCTCCTTTGGCTTAGTACACACCAGACTATCCTTAAGGAAAGGAACGGTGAAAATGGCAAAATACTTTACACACCATTCAGCCATCCACGGAAACAACCGATCACAACAGAAAACATGAGGACAGTGGCGCCCGGCCCATAGGGGCGCTAGGGGCGTCGCCCCACCTCTTCCCACATGAAAAATAAAAATAAAAAATATATTTAAAGAAAAAAATATATATATTTTTTTTAATGAACAAGGTAAATATTATATAATTGGTATCAGTAAAATGTATAATCTACAATAAAATATCGTTTAAAATTGTGTTACGATGTCTAAAGTTACTGATAAGTGACATGTTACCTGCCTGGCCTTGCCATGTATCATTACCCTCTCTCTCTCTCATCGTCTGGGCGCTAAGAGAGGAGCCCTCAACCGGTGCAGCACCAGCCACTAGCAGCTGTCTGTTGCTATCTTTAAACTATGCCGCCAAAACATATTTTCAGCCAAATCAGCGTCGTCAAATCTGATGGTCACAGGGCGCCTACGTCAGAACAGGAAACAAAACAGGAAGCTGTCATTCACTCTGGAAGCTATCATTAGCAGCTAATGAAAACTCCGTTTTTGACATAAAAATGGAATTATGGATTATCAATACTTTTTCAAAGTGACAGACACATTGGATTAACCTATGGATTAACCTTCAGCCGCGTTTTTCTAGTTTTTGATCAGAATAACAGCAAAAGGTGAGCATATCTATGTGTTTTGCTACCTAAAGCTACGTCATGTGATGTCTGTATTTGCTTCCCCTGTCGCGAGTTCTGATCGCTCAGTGATGATACTTATATTTCTAGAATCTGTGGAATCTCAGCTTGTTAGCATAAGCGTGTTTGTGCATATCCGATAAGTATTATCGATTGATTTAACACCTGGAGTGCGTTAGC